AAAATCTATGTTCGCTCCACATCCTAATACAAGATGCCTATTCCATTTCATCTTGTACCAACAAACTGTATTGCCCACAGGCCAATGGCCGAGATATGGAGCATGAGAAGGATGAGCCATTTTGGGTGTTCCCACCATTGAAGCGACACCTGGATTTGGATTTGCTGGAAAGGCAGTTTCAGTAGCTGGAACAACAATTATTACAAATTCTGTGGTCAGGCAATAGGGTTGAACACATGCAAATTTATTCATGGCATTATCACGATCCCCAGAATTGTCATAGGTCACCTATAAATATTTGATTAGGCTGATTATATCAAGAATTAGTTGCATAATTCTGAAGATAAGGGAATAAGATCTTCACCTCAATCCACAGCAACGGTGGTGGACATAGATTAATTATAGGGTTAAGCCTTTGATTACGTGCTGGTTTAGGATTCCAACCGCCCACATCAGGTCGATACTGATTACCGTTAACCACACATATTGTATCAATTTGAGTCCACCAAGTTGGTGGGAGTTGTTGGTTAAGTGAACTCGTCAACTTATAATGTATTTCTGCTTTAATCCCACCATTAAACTTGAATAGTAACAAAAGAATTAGAAAATGCATGTAAAATAATTATAAAACAAAAATGGTACCTTACCTTGATGAACAATTTATTGTCAACAATTTCAGCATTAAAAATATCATGGATCACTTCAAAAATTTTATCACGTTTCTTGCCCTTGGCCTTTATTTCTGGTAATTCAAGTTCTATAATATCCACATCATGCATTTCGCGTAGTTCTTCATTAACTTCATTTTCGATTTGACTGATCACCTAGGAGAAATGGACTGTTGGCTTAATTCAAAATATATGTTTCAAAAAAAAATGGAATGCATTATTATACCTTGGATTCTGCATTATCTTTAATCAAGTCAACAAGCTTTTTAAAGGCACTTTGTACTCTTTGTACTGTGTTATAAGAATGTGCAAAGTTCCTTTTATAAGACTTTTGGATAAATATTTATTTCATGTTTTTTTAATTAACAATAAAATAGTACCTTTACTAATTAAACAACCACAAACCCCACCAATCCCAAAACTACTCTCTACTCCTAAAAATGTGGTTGCCATTGCACTACAAAAAATTAAATTGTAAGCAGAATTTTATTGTACTAGTAATAAATTTGACTAGTAAGTAGAGTTTATTATTACATCATCGGTTTTATTTTTGTACACATCTGATATTGGGTATGATGTGCTATTTAAACATGATTTTTACCTAAAGTCTTAAAGTCTCCTCAGTAACTTGTTTCTTTCTTGCTCATTAGCTTCCCGAAGATTAAGCAATTGATTAAACCTAGCTACAGTATCAGGACTTGGTTGGGTATAAATCATAATTAATTTGAAAGGGAATACGTAACACCAATTAGTTCTAATTGATTGTGTACTCCTGTTTTTGCTTTTTACTTCACTCTTCAGATTTTTCCTGAAACTTGGCTACCTCTCCTCTTTCAATGTTTAACTCTTCTTTAGTGGTGGATAATTCTTTTTCTAGTTCTCTAGTCATGTTTTCTAAATGGTAACTAAATGACCTAGACATCAAGTCTTCTTCAGAAACAAGTTGAGTTGATTTGTCTTTCTCTAAATGACAAAAACATCACTTTCTATTTCTTTTTGTTCTACCACACTTTTCGCACCAAGGAAGAACATTACTATCAAAATCTTGTTTACATTCGTTACAAATAAAAGCTGTGTCAGTATAATCACCAGTCTTTTTGTCTAATGCTACCATTTCGTGGGTAGCAAGAGAAGTATTTAAAGCGAGGTTATTTGGATCATCATAGTCTGAGACACAAAAATCACATTGTCATTCATGACTATTGGCTAGTTCTAATACTCTATACTCTAATTTCATAAATATTATTTGTCTTTTTAAACAATAAAAGCTTGAAACTTCTCTTGAGTTCTATTTTTTGTTCAATTCAACCCACTAAACATTTGCTTAAACTTATATTGCCCTCAATTTTTGCTTTCTTTGAGATTCTTGATTTGACTGTTCTTTGATTGTTAGAATATTTTCCAACTTTTTTACTTGTTATTCTGTAAGATTCATTTAGTTATCTCTCTAACGATCTCTTCTTCCAAACTTTTTGGGGGTTTGATTACAGCTATTCTACAATTACCTTCAACTAAATTTACAGTTTTATTTTTCCCACTTCTCTGATTAGGTATCAATATACTTACCTGCTCATTGCTAAATTTAAAACCATCCCGAAGACGTCTTCATGTCTGATTCCTTTTTCTATCATCTGTAAGATTTTTGAGAAACTCAGAGGTATATTGACCAAGCTCAGATAGACTTGTCTTGGAGCTGAGATTGTATTTTTCAATGATTTTAGTTGCAATGGCTGACATGATTGAATGTTATAATAGGTCAAGTAGTTTATGAACAATTCTTTAGGTTGTATACACTATGAAGATTCTTTTTTCAAATCGAAATTAATTATGCTTTTTCCTCATATACTAAGAAAAAGAGAGTATATGTCGATGTACGGGATAACTGGTACACCAATTTGTAATTTAAATCGTTCTTTGCATTTTTAATACACATATTATTTATGACACATTCAAGAATTTTTAGTATACCAGAAGTGTTAGAACAGATTTTATATTTCTTATTGATAGATAAACCTCTCTATCCTGCTCTATATGTTTCCCGATTGTGGTACAGATGTGGTGCTCCTATTCTATGGAAACGAATTGAGCTAAATAAGAGTAATATACGAAAAAAATTTATGAAAATAATATGTGGTGGACATAAGCCAGTTTATTGTTTGAATGTAACCCCATCTGGGAATTCCACACTACTATTCTCTTTCAGATAAAAAATTCAAAAACATTGCGGTTCTGTTCCCAAATATAGTTTATTTAGATTTATATTATAGTGTGGGATTCAGTGATAAAACATTAAATCGAATAGCAGAATCATACCCCAATCTGAAATATCTCAACTTGACAAAGGGGTGTTATAATGGATTAATAACTGATAAAGGTCTACATGCAATCACAAATTCATGCCATAAATTAGAATATCTGAATATTTCTAATCGTAAAGAATTCTCTGAAATAACAATTTGGAATGTTCATCAGGAAATTAATTTAGCGTAAACTTGCATAAATCTTATGATGCCGACGTAATATTGTGTAAATCTTACAG